TGGTGGTGGTGGTGGCTCAGGGAAATAAATGTTTGGTGGGATTTATATTTAGGTTATTAGACAGGTAAATCCTCTTAATCTCTTGACTCAGGTGAATATTTATTTCTTTGTCTTTTGTTAAGCTTGGATTTAATACTGACTAACTAGCACTATCACGACCACTAACTAGTACGACTAACTGTAGTAGTGACCCTAGACACACAGACACACACACAGACACACACACTCACACGCACGCACGCACACACACACACACACACACACACACACACACACACACACACATATATAACACCTGAGGGAGGGGAAAAAAATCAGCGAAAATTGGCTAGAAAGCGCCACAAATATCGCCACACCAGCTCGACCATCCCGCCAGACTCCCCCTCACCGTCTGGCTATAAATCACGACCGGGATGGACAGGGGCGACACAAACTCCATTACCAGAGGACCTCATAACACGGATGATGATAATTAAGAGTAATAGAGGTAATGACTACATAATTACTGGCATGGGACACCGAGGGAGGGAGAGAGAGAGGAAGGGAGTGAGGGAGGAAGACAAGGCTAGTTGTCCTTTGTTTTCTCACTTCCCGGGTTACTTAGTTCACCCGCCTCTCCTCTCCTCTCTTTTCCTCTCCTCGCCCATCCGTTCCATCCCATGTCCTTTCCGTCACCCTTCCGTCACTCCTCCCCTTCCTTCCTTCCTTCCTTCCTTCCTTCCTTTTCAATGCCTCCTAATTCATCTCCCTTGTTATTTTCTGCTTTTTCATTACCTATTGTTTATCTGTTTTTTCTATGTTATTCTTTTCTTTCTGTCCCTCCTCTCTTTGTTTTACTCTATGCTTGATTCTTTGTTTGTTTCTTTATCATCCTTGTTTACCAACCTTTTATCATCATCTTTTTCAACCTCTAATCTTCTTCTTCGTCTTTATTCACCTTTTTATCTTGTCTTTCATTCCTGTGTTGATATCCTCTTGTTTTGTCCTTCATTCTCAGTATTCTTATTCATTTCTTTCGTCCATCTCTCTTCATTTATAATCTTGTATCAACTTATTCTTATCCTCTCTCTTATGTTTCTTTTATTCCTCTGTTTATTCTGTTTTATCGGGGGTTTTTCTTATCTGTGTCTTATAGGCTTTTCCACGTGTTTACTCATTCATAGAAAAATTCATAGCTGTGACGTAAGGGAGACTGTGTTATTTATAGTGTGAATTGACTAGTATGTTGCTATGAGATGTTGAGGCTATTATTACTCTCTCCTCACGCTCACTTTCTTCTGCTCTCCTCACGTCTACCTACTCTCCTCACGTCTACCTACTCTCCTCACGCCTTCTCTTCTCACAACTAACCTGAAAGAACCCTGAACTTAAGGGGACTCCGGACCCAACAGAACCCCGGATTATAAGCGACAAGATATATGTGTATGTGTGTGTGTGTGTGTGTGTGTGTGTGTGTGTGCGCTTTTGCTATAGTGTTTGTTATGTGTGGCCTTGAAAACAAACATTCACACTGACTGAGCACCTCTTCGACCCAACACGTCTCCACTCACCTTGTGTTTTCGTTTCCTGGTATGGTGTCAACAAGACCCTCACACGTCTGTCGCACAACAAGACATCTCTCATTGTCCCACCCTTCTCTCACCGTTCCCCCTCACCCCCTCTCCCTCACCCCCTCCCCCTCACCCCTCCCTCACGTCACTATAGGAGGAAAAAAGAGGGAGGAAGATGCCCTTGAGATAGTCTTTCAGCCACACTTTATGACGTCAGTAATAAAAACAATAACACAGACAATAGCACTGAAGGAGGAACCTGACTAAAATATCTGAGGCATGAGAATATCACCTTGACCCTCACCGTCTTCCACAAGATCAAGATACCATTGTGTATCGTTCAATCGTGTTCTCTCAATCGTCTTTTGTTTGCGCTGTGTTTATCCTGATATTTATTTACGTAAGGGAGTCATGCAAGGTGTAAAAAATTATATAAAGTACAGCACATCAGCGGCAAAACTTTCACCTTCATGATCAAGGCAGTGGGGCACAGTGTTAGCTCAGTTAGCCCTCCAACACCTACCATTTTCTATATCGGGATCATGGACTGTAAATCCGCCTGTGAATAATTAGCTCAGATTTGATGTGTCATGCCTTCATTCCACAGAAGAGGGCGGTAATAACGACGGTCGGAAGCTGTTTCTGGCGGTGACATGACCGTTCTAGTGTGTGTGTGTGTGTGTGTGTGTATGTGGGAGGGGCGTGGTGAGATCCTGTAGGAGGGAAAAGGAAATTGAGTATCCTGACCCCATTTTTTAGTGGATGTGATTCAATGCCAGTGTGACATAGCTCAGCTTTGGGTGGATCGCCTCGGTAAACTTAGCTCGGCTGGTTCGGATACGCCCATCATTCTGTAGCGATTGTTGAAGGTTATTATAATTCTACCCTCATATTTATTAATCTTCGCTCTGCTTTTTCTGGAGGGAATATATTACCCGGGATTGCAGATC